TTTTTTGAACATTAAAGCATGTCAACATATTCTGTTACACCAAATACACAAAATAATGATCTTTAAAATAGCATCATATGACCCCTTTAAAGTAGTCAATATTTGATATTCAAGACTTTATTGATTGTAAATCTTTCCTTCTGCTGCAGCTCTCAGATGTCAAAAGTTTGGGGTGAGTAAAATAAAAAAAAAATAAATGAGTACATTCATTCATCAAGTATGCACCGAATCGCTCAAAAGTGACATTAAAGACATTTACATTGTTAAAAAAAGATTTATATTTCAAATAAATGTTGACCTGCATGTTGTCCACATTGATCATTCTAAGAAATGTTTTATTAGCAGTAGCACCAAATCAGAAGGATTTCTAAAGTATCGTGTGACACTGAAGACTGGAGTAATGATGCTGAAAATTCAGCTTTGACATCACAGGAATACATTACATTTTAAAATATATGAAAATAGATATCAGTTATTTTAAATTGTAATAATATTTCACAATTGTTCCATTTTTTTGATTCACAGCCCAAAACTTTGAACAAAATTCCTTATATATTTCAGTCAATTTCTCTGATAAAAAGTTTCCCAAGATCTAACATATAATGCTCAAGTCATACAGAGTAATGTTATGCTGGTTTTATGGTGATGTTTTGTCGTTTTTGAGCTCGACTTACAGCATAAATGTCTGAGGGTGAGGGAATCACAGAATTTTCATTTCTGGGTCAACTACTCCTTTAAATACTAATGCAGCCTTGTATCTTTCGTTTTTAAGTGTAAAATTATGACTGAAATGTTATAAATCCCATCAGGAGTTTATATTATACAGCAACACTCCTGGAATCTGAAAACCACCAAAGCCAAACTTTAAAAATGAATGATCGGTATAGAAATACTTCTGCTTCTCAGCTCTCAATAACCTTACCAGTCAAACATGCTGCACTGGATAAGTCATATATCAAAGAGCACCTGAGCTCCTGGCTCAGACCTTCCTACAGCACAAGTCTGCAGAGGGGAAACCTCATCCTCAAGGACACAGCTGAATTCAGTCTTACAGAAGCGTCTCTGAGGAGGAATGTAGGCATTCAGGTCTATGCAGGAAATAAAAAAAAATCCTCAAACAAGTCGCAAGGATAAAGTGAAAGTCAAGAGTCGCCTCTGCAAACCCTCGCTTCCGCATGCAGAGATGGCTTTTGTCAATAATAAACGTGCATTTTACAGACCATTCTGCCATCTTGAAAAACTCCCACAATGCCCTGCTCTCAAACCTGCAGTGACTAAATGCAGCATGAATGTTGAAGGAAGAGCTCATCCAGAAATAGACTCAACTACATGTCGTTTCAAATGGATCATGAGTCCAGGTTTGGTCTTTTCCTTATGCGAAGCTTAAGAATTTTCTTGAATTTTCATAATTGGATGAACTATTCCTTTAACATATGTGTAACTCGATCACATTAGCAGACCAGGTTCACTGGGAAATCTGCTGTTTGGTGATCGGAGTGATCCGATGGACTCCATGCAGCTTAAAGTCAATACAGTGTAGACACCTAAAAGTAGGGCTTCTAAAATGGTCCATTATAGGCCAGTAAAGTATTAAACCCAGAATAAAGGGCTTTCTTTGAGCCTTATGTAATTCGCACATGCATTTAAGACCTCTGAGAAATCTCAACAGCCACGACACATCGTTTAATAACATCAATGCACTTTGGTTGCATCCATAAGACTACTCCATTTTCCAATTCAAATCACTGTTTGGGAATACAGCTTACGTAGGAACCATATGCAAAAATTCAAGTTTCCCTCCGAGGTCAAATTAAAATCTGAAATCTATTTTATTAGAAAGACGGCGTACGCTAATTCTACACTAAAGTCCTGACAAAATAAGTTTGTCTATCTAAAGGGACCATGCTGTATAGTTATGATCTATGTGATAGAATTTCTTCCCCTTCTAAAATCCAGAGGGAACGGAATAAAAAATATAAATATGCTTATGTTTTGCATATCAAGGAGAACCATGCTCAAAAGGTTAGCCAGCATTTGGGTAGGCTGGACCAGGAAACCTTCAGACCTGTGCACAGCGGTGTGGTCGACCTGAAGCCAAGTAACGTGTACGTTTACGGCATCGAGGTTTTTTCAGAACAACCCTCTCTCTCAAAAAAAACAAAATTTTTCCAGTTACAAATGACATTACGTCCTGTTATCTGCTGAAGGCTAATGCCGCTAACTTCAAAACAAACATATGTTAGATGAAAATCTGATTCTACATTACAAATTAAAAAGGCAGTCATGATTCACACAAAGAGAGCAAAATGACAGACACTAAAGGGCTCTTGGTTTGTCTGAGAACAAACAGCATCACTCACACACACACACACACACACACACACACACACACACACACATCCCAACACATCAAGTGAAGTATTAACAGCTGGTTGTTGTCATGTCCTGGTCTTTTTATGTTCCCTTTTCAAGAGTTCAGCGAGAACTGGTCCTGTTCTATGGGTTTTTTCACCCAGGCGCCCAGACCCGCTTTGTGAAAGGCCTTGATGAGCGTTTGCTTGGCTGTATGGTACTCCACCGCTGCTTGTTTGGCTTCGTGGTACGAGCTGGGCTTGGGCACTTTGATTCGGAGAGTTGACGAAAGCTGCAGATACAAAAAAAATTATTTGTTTTTGCATTATTTTGTAATATAATACATATCATGCAATACGTAGACTATAATAGCGAACTACTGCATTGCTTCACATTTCAAAGGTTTAAAGTATAATACGTATAAATATAATAATACAATACAAAATATATTTATAGTTATATTCTTGATTCATGTTCTGTTCTGAACATTGCTAAATGTAAAGGATTTGTTGAGGAGTGAGGGGAACTAATAAACATGTTTATAGCATTTAGAATGTTTACAAATGTTTTATATTTTTTGTAAACTTTATTGACATTATTCTTAATGTAGTAAGGAAATGCAATGCAACCGATGCAACATTTTTGTGTTTTGTTCTGTCAACAATGCAATTTTCTGGAAAATACGATATATATATATACAGTTTTTCTTTCGTTTTCTTAATTTATTATTTAAGTAAAAATATATTTCTTGTATAGGCCTATTTATTATTATTATTATTTTATTATTATATTAATATATTATTATTTATATATATATATAGCCTAGCTTTATTATGTTTTTCTCCACTCGCAGAAGCGCTGCAGGTGTGTGATGTGAAGACCATGTGAATCCTCATGTTCTGTTGTTTGCTGCTTTTTGCGCATGTAACATTGCGCATGTTTTTTGTCTTGTGAATCGCAGTGTTTTTGTACGTATTCGTCGCGTCTATCTGTCTCTAAGCGACTGATTGTATTAATCGGTCAAAATTCTTCACGGTCGGTTAATGGTTAACCGGTTAAAATGAACATCCCTAACACACTAACACACTAACACACACACACACACACACACACACACACACACACACACACACACACACACACACAAATACAAATACAAATAATATCTTTACTTTTCTTAAGCCAAGTCCTGCAGTAAGGTTGAAAGTGAATCTGTGATAGCGGTACCTTAGAGTGTAGTCGCACCCAGCGGCTGTATAGGGCATGCTTACAGAGACGTGAGGCTCTGCCCATGTCATCCTTGCCTGTGGTGGCGTTAATGACTTCTAGAGCCTGATCTCCCACCGTCCAGTTCACACTGAAGTTAGGAGCCTTTCCCGGCTGCCGGGCCTCGGCGTTACTGATTCCTGCAAACACACAAACACACTAAACATAGTAGAAAATCACACCCAGAAACAGCCTTGGTGCGTTTACTTTTCTGCATGAATAAAACATCCAGTGTGGCCCTTTTTATGCATTTGACTTGATATCAAGATATTTCTTAAATAAGAAGAAATTAGTTTCAAGGCTTCTGTTTTTAATGAAAGAACACCGATAAAACAATGTGCTCAAGGTTGTGTATTCAGTATAAGACCTTCAACAGAAAGTCTGATGACTAATGCTGCTTTACAAGTCTTGCACGTGAACTTAAAAAGAGCACAGAAAAATGTTACAGAACAGACTAAACCGGAAACAAACTAGAAAGCAGAAACTACTGAATTTATATTGACTAAATAATTACTTGGAAAAACCTGAAGCAACGGAAATGATTTGAAAAACACTTGAAGGCTGCATGCCATTATTCATTCATATTTATATTCTTAAGTTTAAAATCTATTAAATAATATACTATTATGTAATATTTCAAGAATATTTAGGTAAAGCATAAATGGCTCACTGCACTATGCATTACCTCTTTACCTGCAGACTAAGACGACAAGAACAAAAAGAGTTGACAAATGCAGAAGGGTTGTTCTTTGAGCTCAGGTCGAGTACGCTATGCCTCAACCTCCTATGACACATCATCAAATGAAGATTTTCAGCAGTGAGCCATTAAAAGCTAGTTCTACAGGGAATCTGATGTAACCCAGTGCAAAAGCAGTGTTGGGTGTTTCTCTTGAGGCACAAAGTAAGAAAGGATATGTACCCAATTCATCGTATATACTTCTCCAAAAGCAGCCAACGTCTCCCTAAAGACATTTTGAAACTCAAGCGAGTCTTTAATCAGGAACCGGTGTCCACTTAAACCTAGTGCTGGGTATAAACTACATAAAAGCAGAAACGCTACTAACTTAAACATCATATTTCAGTAGCATAACAATAGCTCAGCTGTTTGAAAAAAACAGTCAAGTCATCTTTATATATATTGCTACATTTATCTACAATACAGATTGTTTCAAAGCAGCTTTACAATGATGAACAGGGAAAAACAATCATCAAATAGGAGACAAATTCAAATTTTGCTGTAAAGAAGCTCTAATAGTGTAGTTTTTCAAGTAAGAACTACTGTTTGCACATTTATTGGGACAGAAAAAAGTTCAAACTAAACGTTCGAAATTAAAGTGGGAAAATCTGATTCATTTAGAGCACAAACACTTAGGTCATTTTTCTGTTTTGTAGTATGCGTGTATATATATATATATATATATATATATATATATAAACACACACACACACACACACACATATATATATACTGTATATGTATGTATTACATTCAAAACTATTAAATATGATAGTTATGCATTTAAACGATACTGCCTCTTTGAGCATCTTTTGGTTAGTTTTTATTAGAGTTAGGTTTTTGTTAGGCAAGCTACTAGTAGTTTTTCTAACAACTTTAAAATTCACTTATTACTCTATTACTTATTACTTATTACAAAATTATCCATCTGACCGCATAATTGATGAATTTTGCTACATTGACCATTATTGAATGAACTAAATCAACATTGAGTTTAACTGAATAATTGCAGTATTTGTCTTTATCTCATATTTGATGATTTAAAACAATATGTATTGTACAGTATAAAGCGCTATATAATAAAGCTTACTTGACCAAAAAAGCAGCTTGACTGTTGTTTAACCACTTTACACTTTGACAAGCGTTTCCCATTGTTGCCAGATTGGAAATGTCCAAGTATCGTACCAGAAGCTCAAAATTATCGTATTTGGAAGAAAATTATCGCACACGAGTCAAACATACAGAATACAGCTTTTTATCTAGACCAACAACTTGCACGACCTGCAAATAACCACAATAGATAACTAGGCGTACCGTGTCTACACTGGAGCAGTGCGACAAAATAGCCTACTATTGAACCCATTATAATCAGTGACTCTGTCTGCACTGGATCCCCGACAATAAACTGATGCCTCGTTCTATTTATGACGTATTAAAATGTTTTTTAACACTCGCTTTGTCGTGTCCAGTGTAGACAGACTTTAGCTGTTGCTGCATGGCGCGACGGTGTTAACTCCACCTCTGAGTCACTGTCATCGGAAGCCTGTGTGTTGCCAGATGTTCAGGGGGTTCTTGCCATCATGGACCGCAACATAGTGCTCCTTGGCTTAAAAGCAGGGCACCCTCCTGCATTCTTAACACACTCTGAGGTGTGCACGAGCGCATTTAGAGTGTCTGTAATGAGCCGATTTCGTGTATGAATATAGAAGCCCTATGACTACAACTACCATCATTTGAATTGTCATAAAATTCTGAAATTATTGTACATTAAGGGATTTTTTTCATTATTGATCGTACATCGTACAGAGGTCAAAAATGAAAAAAAATAAAATAAAAAAATAATCGTACGTCTGGCAACACTGGCGTTTCCCAACCCTGCTATAGGCTGTGTGGGATTATTTTCCAGCTTCCTCTTTACAAAAAAGAAAAAAGTGAGAGAGAATGAGAGAAATCAGCAGGGTAATCTCAGGGGATTTGAGGCACGGTATGAATTACTGAAACAGGCTGGCGGTGGAGAGCAGGCCCATCTAAATTCCAGTAATTCATCAAACCACGAGGAAATTGAAGGCGAGTGGGGGAAACTGTCCGTCTAGTAAATGGTAATACAATTTGACATGGGTGCCATTTTCAATGATTTGGGAGAGGAAATGCGAGCCGGTGTGATGTTGTCTTACCGCTGAGCAGGGGGCGGTTGAGGGAGAATTGCTGGGGCAGGTCTTCGATGTCAGCGATCCGCTGGTACATGGCTCTGGAGAGATGATCAGCATGATACAGGCTGCCCAGGATGATGCTGGAGAAGTAGATGGGCTCAGTGAAGTAGCTCATCAGAGAGCCCTGGATGCCCACCACGTTCCACCTGCAGGAACAAACACACACACCTCACATTAGTGTCCAGATTTTATATTGGGCACCAAGCGGCAACCTTACACAGACTGTTAAAAAGAATGTAACAATAATCAGCATTGTCATTTATTAATATTGCTATAAACTGCATAGACCCAACAGTACTGTATGCAGATAAATTTAGAATGAGAATGGAAGATGGAAAAATTAGTTAGATTGGACACGCAACAATAAAAGGTATGAGAAGTAACGTTGATAAGCCTATTTACTTAGCAAAGTTATTATTTGAATTATATTTAGTTATAATTGATTTACTTATTATTGAATTCAATCATAATATCAATATATATATTAGAATTTTTTTATATGCATTTATTTTCCTCTGCTGTATACAACCCCATCAAAACAGACCTGTGGCCCATTTTTAATATAATAGCTATAATTCATTTAATTTTTATTACATGAATTATAATTATTTTATAATTTAATTACTGCCATTTTGTGTTCTTTTCCCGCTGCTGTACGCAACCCCATCAAAACAGACCTGCATCCAATTTCTATCATAATTCATTAAAATTTATTTAATTATTCTTACATTTTATAATATAATTATTTTATAACTTTTTTATTGGCATTTTGCAACCCTGAACGCAACCCTGCCAGAACAGACCAGTTGCCCATTTTATTATAATAATTATACAGTAGTTCATTAAATTATTATTACATGTATTTATAATTATTTCATTATTTTATTATCACCATTTTGCATTGTTTTCCCCACTTGTTGTATGCAGTCCTATCAAAACTGTGACTTATTTTTATCGTAATTAATAATTACTAAAATTAATTATAATTATTTCATAACTTTTTTGAATTGGCATTTCACATTATTTCTCCCCCTTTTGTACGCAAACACAACAGAGGACCTTTATCATAATTAAATACAATTATTACTACATTTAGTTATAATGCAATATTACAGTTTTAGCACTGACATTTTGCATCGTTTTCCCCACTGCTTTCACAACAGACCCAATTTTATTTAATTATATAATGATTATGCTTATAATCATTTAATTATATTATGATTATAATTAATATTACATTTAAATATAATTTACACTTTTTACACAACCCCATCAAAACAGACTTGCAACCCATTTTTGGGTCCCGGCCCACCACTAGACACACTGACCAGCAGTTTAACATAATGAAACACTGTTGGGATTCCTAATCTCATTCCATCTAAAACACTGTAAAAATGACCATGTACAGGTAGATGGAACATAAGACAACCACGAGCTACAAGAATCCAAAACACAAAAGCAAAAAAAGCAATCTGGCCAGAAGCCCAGATGTGAATGATTTTCAAATTATATATAAAAAAAGCAACAGTGGAAGAATTGTTCAATTAGTGCAGTTCTTCCAAATCACCTCATTTATGTCTTCACAGGTCCCAGAGACTCACCCACTGGGTCTCCCTCCTCAGCCGTACACAATCAAAAGGCCTAATCAAGCCCAGATCTGCTCCCCAAAACAACACCTGCTGTATGCAGCTGAGAAGAACCCAGACTCAAGTGATTGGAGTCGTTCTCGTCTGACCAATCAACAGCCTCAGATGCCAAAGAGACACAGTCCAACTTTTGCTACCGTTAACAAGACCACTTTGCTAAGCACTTCCCTCCTGTAGCCAGAACACTCTGCAGCTTATTCAGAGTTTCTGCTGGCGTTTATCAAGTCTACTTGCTAAACTAGACAGCTTTTTACAGTTTTATTGACAGTAACCCCACAAATCCAGTGATTAAATGCATTCATTGCATTAAATTGTGTTTCGCAGAAGCCAGTTTTTGAGTGCAATATGCAGCCAGTGAATGGACTTCGGGTGGTCGTCTGAGACTAGCCTTGTACAAGAACACTTGATCCTGGCAGTAAGAGGGAAATAAAAAGCCACACATTACAGATCAGAAGTTAAAAACCCAGGGGAACAGTTAATAATTCAGACTAATGATATATAGATATACAGTGGGTACGGAAAGTATTCAGACCCCCTTAAATTTTTCACTCTTTGTTATATTGCAGCCATTTGCTAAAATCATTTAAGTTGATTTTTTTTCCTCATTAATGTACACACAGCACCCCATATTGACAGAAAAACACAGAATCGTTGACATTTTCAAATTTTCATTTTTGGGTGAACTATCCCTTTAAGGAGGTTAACCCTAATATTTTTCTATTTTTCTTTAAGACTCTGAAACATGATTTTCAGTGAATAGTAACCTAAATTTCAATCTGTTCCTCAAACAAAGCTATTGTATGACTGCTGAAGACTAAGAAGAGTCATATGTACAGTATATATTCTTTTATTGTAGTCTTTTGTCATGCACTGAGACTAAACAGTCTTGACAATCACAGTCCCCATCCTCTCAGCTCTCCTCCATCTCCTTTAGAATTACAAAAAAAAAAACAAAAAAATAAACAGAGATATATGGAAAGAGAAAAGACCACACTGAATTTTAGGTGGGATAATTTCTTTCATATTGCTTTTGCAAAGCAATTTTGCTCTTTTATTTTTAGATTAAAAACAAAACAAAACAAAATGAGAGAAAGTAGTTCTGTATTTTCAATGGGGGGCCCCCCCGAACAAACAAATAAATAAATAAACACAATTTAACAAAAAAATAAAAAGATAATAAATAAAAACTGTGGGATGAGGATGATATATATGTAGTATTGAGCGACAGTGAAAGAAGTGTGTGTACGGAGGAGGTTTTCTCTTTTCTCTCATCAGCATAGACAGGACCTGTGCTCTCCGGTCACAGCTGTCTCTGACACATTCTTATCTGTCCGCTCACAGAGGAAGACCCAGCGCAACCCTGACCCCACAGGAGAAATGAACACTCCCTCCTACACTGTTAATACGCTCTTCTTTATTTAACTAGGGTTATAGTAATGTTGAACCATGCACTTTTTTCCCTGTCAATTATGAAGCCCGGGAAGAGCCAATGGGCAATTAAATTCACAAAGCCCTTGTTCTCTTCTCTCCCAGCGGTGACAGGTACAGCGTCTACCTAGTGCAGAGAGTTTAACCAGAAGGTTATAATGCTTTTGCTGAGCTGTCTGCTATTCTAATGAAGAGGGCTGACAATAGCTTTGCTCCAAAAGTAAGGGAGCTGCCTAACTAGACAGCATTTTTAGAAGTAAAGGTAGGAAGAACATTATGCTCATTATGGCCAAACTGTAAATGTAGCATTATAACCCCAAACAAGCTCGGCTAAGAGAACTGGAATATATTTTTATTTCTTTAAATAGCAACAAGTAGCATTTTTAAATCTAAATTTGATTGAAAAAATAACATATTTTGTTATTTTTTATATGCATATTAGCAAATAATGTCATTAAATAACATGCTTATGGAAATCAGTTCAGGACTCAAAAGAAAAAATTGCCAACTAAGATTAAATATTGTTATGCACATTTTTCATTTAATGCTTATTTACTGTTTTCTTAACAATTAAAATTATATATATTAAAATTGTATATATATATATATATATATATATATATATAAATACAAATTAATATTTTCAATATATACATTTTTAATTTTAATCATTTTATTACACTATTTATATTATAATTTTTTTTAATCTATATAAAATTTACAACAAACTAATGCAGTATAACTGTAATATTTGTTGATAATCAGCTATAATGTAACAGCTACTAACAGCTATAAACCTCATAAACAGTTTTTTGTAAAAAATAATTTGACATTAGATAGAAACATCCTCAAAACTGAGCCCTGCAGCTGTGATCCTTTTATTGTTGTTGCTGACACAGAGCAATCAGATACATTTATATTTATGCACTTCCACTGCATTATTCAAGGTTCACATTTATATATCTGTTCACATTTATACTTTATCAGTATTTCATCAGTTAAGATGTCTATGTAGATATGTATGTGTGTATGCATGCTACCAATCTACCTCGCGATTTTGTCACTGCATGACATCGTAAGCAGCCGCTCGCCCTGCAGGACTCCGTCCCACGTCTGTATGGTGTTACTAGAGCGCACCGGGATGGTTCCCTCTCCAGACTCGATCTTGGTCCTCAGCTGGCCCCTTGCCTTCCTGTTTGGGTGTCTGTCTCCCTGGTCTGAAGAGAACAGAAAAAACAGATGAATTAAACAGTGAAATAAACATTTAAAAAGAATGGGTGGCTCTTACAGGCAATGTTTCTAAAATGTTTAATCTACTTCGACAAACCAATAATTGATTTAATCAACGAATAACACTAACAAAGAACAGTAATTGTGATTTTTTTTTGTTGCTTCAACTGCTTAATTGTATGACATATAAAGCCAAGCAAAATGATTTAAATACAACACTCAAGAGAGGAATTAATCAGGCCACAAGCAGAGTCAACAAAGCCAGCTAATTAAAAACACTGATGAAATTTGTTTTTGAAATGCAGTCAGCCACTCGAGTGAAATTATAATGAAATGCGACCTGATCATAAGAGGACCCAACCTAATCTTAATTGAATACAACTATTCAGTTTTGATCATTAATTTCAAACAAGTGTTTGAGTAAAATAACATTAGGGCTGTCGCGATTTGTCAATTTTATTCGACTATTCGATTTAAAAAAAAATCCTCGACTTCATTTTGCTCGCGTCGACTAACCGGCAAAATACCGGAAGTGGCATTCACTTGCATCTATTTTTATTACCGCAAAAAAATTATTATAATTATAGGGCCCTATGAAATCAGTTTTATTTCCAAATTCAGTTTTTTTCATTTTTCATTTTTTTATCTTTATGGTTAAATTAACTTTTATTAATCAAAAAGCCTGTCTAATTAATTGAGTTTTACAGTTTTATCTTTACCAAATTCTGTTTTCCATTATTTTCTGGATTCCATTTTAATGGTTCCATTAAATTGTAATAATCAAAAGCTCTAATTAATTGATTTTATTAAAAAAAAAATTTTTTTTTTTTTTCAGAAATACTGCACATTAAAAATTTTCTCCTAAATAAATTCTGGTAAATACTCCTTCAAAAAGTGTTTTTTATTATAATTTTATTATTAGTAGACTAGAACACATGGATATGTTGTCATTCTTACACTATAATACTGAACTTTGATTTCAGTGATTTGGACTATGAGATGGACACTTGCTTCTTGCACTTTGTTGCACTTTACTTTTTTACTTTTGGATTTCATTTGGTTTAATTTAATCGTTTAATCGAAAATTAATCATGAAGATTAATCGACAAATTAGTCGACAGATTAATCGAAATAAAAATAGTCATTAGTGGCAGTCCTAAATAACATCCTCATCCACCTCCCGCCAGATCCTGTGTAAAGAACGGAATAGTTAGCTTTATTGAAGACTCAGTCTCACCCTCTACACCCGCCTCGTGAGGAGAGAAGATCCGGGCGTCTCCGCAGGGCGATGTGCTGATATAAAGATGAAACTGGACACTGTCTTTCAGCCGGAAGCCACGCTTGTCACACTGCGCGAATATGGACTTTTGGTGCTCCTCTTTATTGTTACTAAATTTAGACAAACGGCAGAAAAATTCTTCCCAATTCTAGTCATGTACAGATACAAAACTGTATGACCATAATTATTTTGACACATTGTGACTGCAAGTTGAACTTCAACAAGACAAACATTTAAAGGTTTGCTCTGTATATTTATTAAATATCTCATACACTGACTTTTGAAACCTAGTCCACCTGAATTGCATATAAAAATGTAATATGAAACAACAACAATAAAATCATAATAATAATAGTTTGTGTTTAAAAGCTTGTGTTAACATAATAAATGTACTATGTGTGTACCGCGTACATTTATATTTATATATAAATAAACAAACGTTTAGTGTAAACACAAACTTTTATTTTGGATGTGATTAATCACGCTTAATCAATTTGACAGCACTAATTATAATAAATTATTATTTGTATACATTATATAATTTATTTTAATTGACTTTTCATAAATATTTCAATAGATCACATTATTTGGTGGTTTAATAAGTTGCAAAAGGCTAGCTCATGATTAATCTATATCACGTATCAATGCAGAGTATAAATATTACATAGCATATATTAACACTGCTTTTCAGAACCCGTCCACTTGAATTACATATAAATAATATAAATATATATTAGTGCTGTCAAATGATTAATCGCGATTAATCACATCCAAAATAAACGTTTTTGTTTACATAATATATGTGTGTGTACTGTGTATATTATGTATATAAAAATACACACACATGCATGTATATATTTAAGAAAAAATATTTTATGTTTTGATATTAAATATATATATAATATAAATTATATGAATATACATACAGTGGGTACGGAAAGTATTCAGACCCCCTTAAATTCTTCACTCTTTGTTATATTGCAGCCATTTGCTAAAATCATTTAAGTTAATTTTTTTTCCTCATGAATGTACACACAGCACCCCATATTGACAGAAAAACACAGAATCGTTGACATTTTTGCAGATTTATTAAAAAAGAAAAACTGAAATATCACATGGTCCTAAGTA